GTTTTTAAAAATTTTGATTTGTAGGTTGGTCTAAAAGCTGAAATAAGTTTCTTACATAAATTAAAAATTTCAACATTTTGAGAGTCAAACACGTTACTTTTGCTTTTACAATAAAAAAAATTCTTCCATAAATCAAGTTAAACATTGACAAAGTAATATAAAATTGTCCTCATAAATTATTAGATTTTGTATTGAACACATAATATAACTAAAAGATAAGTAATTAACTGCAATAATCATAAGTACTTGTATCAATGTATGGTAAGAAGGAAATCCATATTAAATTGAAACCAACATAATAAAACAAAAAGAAAAACGGAAGCGTTTTAGATTAGAAAGGTGCAAAATGATTGTGACCTTTTCTTTCGCACATATCGCCAGCATTGATAATGCAAAATATTGGGAAGCCCTTGTCATGGGCTCATTTGGAAGTGACTTAGAGATAAAGCATACCAAATCTTTTTAACTTTTTCTTTAGTTTAAAGTTAAGGATGGAGAACGACGAATGGAGCATCGTAAGCCAAAACCAATGGGATCCACTAAGTAACGTTAATGAAGTTTAAAAACTTTAATATAAAATTGTGCAAAACTTGTAATGACGGCTACTAGGGTTCCATTATCTCTTTTTATTTTATGTCGTGGAGGGTTTTCCAAAGGAATGTATAAAGGGGTGTGGAATGAAGGAAAAAGATTATCCAACTTCATTTCAGTGGTTGAGGGGTTGGGAGAGTTCGGTAATAAGAATGGGTTTCTTTTTACTAACTCCAACAGCTGGCGATTAGAGGCATTTCTCGTATTTCCTTAAACCCTCGTTATTATAATTATTATTTATTTAAATTACATCACATCACCTGCCGTCCCCTCTATCACATGATTTTACACACTTTTAAAAACTGTCCTTTCAAGTATTATGTCTAATTAAATTTATAAAGTATTTCCTCAAGCTTAAACAACTGCTTTTTCCTTGTCATAGTATTATTTTTTATTAGTAGAATATTTTTTATTTTTTTAATTATTTAAAAAATTAAATAAATTTTTATTTTTTAATTTCATTCAATTAATTTTTTATTTTAAATTAAATATATTTTTATAATTAATAATTAACTAATATTATTAATCAAAAAATTATTTTTCATTTTATATTCATGTAATGTTAAAATAATAAATAAAAAATATCATGTACTAATATCATCATGTCATAACAAAATGTTAAGTTATCATCAATAAAACATATAACTAAGTTACGTCGGTATCACTAATTATAAAATAATAAAAAATATTTTAATTAATAATAATAATTAATTATTACTAATAAAAATTTATTCAATTTAAAATAAAATTATAATAATTTAGTTAAATATACTAAAAAAATAATTTATTTAAAAATATGTTTAAATATTTTATTTAGTTTTGATGCTTCTAAAACGAAAGCCACTTTGAATTTTTTATTTTTTTAGATTCTATTAATAGACATATATATCCTTTGCTAAAAAACACTCAGTAACCAATTCCCTTTCATTTAAAATAAAAGGAAAAGACCAAAAAACCTTGAGATGAGGGCCAGTACTCCAACGGCTTGTGGCTGTAGCGAGTACTGCCCAACTAACTAGATGGGTAACCTGAGTTGGGGGCTACCGGAGCTTTTTGGATGACATGCCGTACGAAAGTTTTCAATTAAATCATATTGAAAGGGCAAAAAAATTAATGTTATAATTATTAAGACCAATAAAACAAATAAGTTTATTGTTAGTTGATGGTAAAATTATTTATGTAAAAAAATTTACAACATAAAATAGTGTAATATTATTTAACTTGATTTCAATAAGACTTTATTATTTTTCTTGATAAAATTATTCATAAAAAATATGATTTACAATACAAAATACACCGTAATTATATGACTTTATTTCATTAATGATGTATCATTGATAATCAAAGACATCCTATATGATTATTTGAGCCCTTTTGATTTTTGAGTACATAGTAAACGAATTAGGTTATGTGATATTATTTTAAAAAGTTTAAGTAGTAAATAGTCAAAAAGTTGCAATCCCTTAAGTGATTTGAAAGTTGAAACTTTAACTCAAGCGAAAGGAAAAAAAAAGGCACCTTCCATTAATCATATGCCATTCACTCCCTTTGATTTTTATAAGATTTATTTAATTAGATCCTTTTTTGAGTTACATTGTTTTTGAAAATTTATTAAAAAGCTCTAATTATCTATTAGATGGGGTTCATTAAGTTGTAGGAGTTATTTCATATTCAGTTGTCTTGGTATTTATAAATCATATGTTGATTTATCTACTGGGATCGATATATTCCACTTGGCCCGAGTGTAATCCTTCTCCTATATCTATCTTCCTTCTAACACTGTATTCAAGGGTACAACTATTCCATGTTCTTTTCACTTGGCTTCTCCACGAGTAAAATTCATTAACCTTGTTCTTGCTCGAAAACAGTTAGTATTATCACCATGAGAATAAGATAAAAGTTGCCACATGGAACACATGATTTACCCTTCTCCTGTAACCTATTTATGAAAACGAAACAAAGGGGAAAAGCCAAAATAGGGCGACGAAGAGTGTACGAGTGCTTTATTGGGCTGGTGTTAATAGCAGGTGAAGAGGGAAGCACATGTTTTCCATGGACAAAAGGATCCATGCTAAAACAGCAAAAGAAACTTATGTGATAAGCTCAGCTGATAGGCTAACAGACGACAATTTGGAACAAAATTGACGTGCAATTGTGGACCATACAACGTGTTAAAGATCTCACTGCTTACTACTGTTGAACAAGAATGTCTTCCTACTTTGAATCGAGGGAGAGCTTAGTACTAAAAGCTAAACCCCGGCCCCCACTCCGTTGACAACTCTTCCAGCAACGAAAATAGCTTAAGGCTTAGCCCAGGAACTTTCATGGTGGTTCCAAAACACAGTTGCCATGTGGTTTAATGGGGCCAAATCATCTGGGCTGTAGATCAGCGTTCATCAGCGGCATTAACATTTTGCAGGGCCCACAAAATTTCAAGATCTCAATGATTTTTATCCTTCATTTTTTATTTTCTTTTCGGGCTATCCTTTCCAATATTGAAAGGTTCTGATTGGTCAAGTTCGTTTTTGCGGGTTTCAGACGATTTGTTGGAAGAGAATGATGCCAGAATTATCCCTTCAGAAGCTTGGACTTGGGACTACCTGAGGAGGATATTCCTCTAGAATGAAACAAATAATAGCATCTTGCAAGCTGCCAATATTTAAGTCCTTTCCCTTTTGCAAACTGCGTGAGTTATGATTTTCGATATGATTATCTTTAAGATTAACTAAATTATTATGTACAGTAATCTAATTGTATTATGAACATAATATTTCACAGTTAATGTGATGAATTTTAATATATTAAAATAATTTTAAAAAGTGTTGTAAAGACATTTGGTTACAAAATTGTTAGTGTATTTATCTTAATATAAACTTGTGATAAAATTTAGCGTTGTATTTGATTATTTGCAGTCTCTTGTCAAATGCATATGGCAAGCTTAGTGATTAGCATGGACTTCGTAACTTTTTGGTTATTTATTAATAAATTTGTTTGACACAATTGTTGGTGTATGCTTTCTCTTTTTAAAGAGTTATATTCCAATATAAAAAATTAATTAACACTTTGTCCTTAGGCACAAAAATGATAGAATGAGCTGTATCCTTTTATAGCAGTTTGAATAAATAAACCAAGAATAACAAAATCTTTTTCTTGTGTTTATTGTATGTATAACTTCAAATAAGTAAATTAGTTCAATAGAGGGACAGGGACTTGAGGAGCCAAGCCCACTCCATACCTTATTGTTGCAATGCCTGCTTTTATGATTTGTGTTGACACAGATTTTATATTAATAAAAAATAAAATAAATTTTAAATTTATAAATAATTTTTTTATTAATAAACTTTTTTTTTGAGTTATAAATGTAAACCTGTTGTCCTCCAAATTCTTCATAAAAAGGGAAAATGGAACTTCTAAATGCCTTGTAGGCTTTGCATTCTTACTTAAAGCCCATTAATCATGATGTTCTTAAGGCCATAATTTTTATATAATATTTTTATTATTTTATTAATAAAACTTTCAACAAGGCTTTGTATAACTCTTTGTTAATCTGTTGCGCATGCGATGTGTTCAGGATAGTAAAATTATTTTTAATTGAGTTCAGAATGCTTTGTAAAATAAATATGCAGGAATCATGTTATTATATCTAATTATTGATGTACACTGACATGTACAAAATATTATTTTATAATATATATAATTGTTGTTATTATAGCTATTATTATGGTATTTGTGGTGGTGCTTTTATAAAAAAACACACTTATAAACAACCTCACTATTAAACAAAACTTTAAATAAAATTTCTAAACTTACAGCAGAATATATAGTAAATTTTAACTAGTTGATTTGCACCACTTTTCATTAGTTATATTTAATATTAAAAATAAAATATATAATAACTCGATCTCTCTTAAAACTTTATTTTTAGCTAATTGATATGTATTACTTTACATTAGTTACATTTAATACTTGAAAAATAGAATATGCAGTAATTCAATCTCTCTCAAAACCCTATTTTTCGCTAGTTGATATGCAACTGGTTACATTTAACACCGAAAAATTATTTTTTATAAATACTCAAATGGGAGTAATAGGTAATGAAATAAAAAAATTATTTTTTTTTATAAATACTCACACAAGAAAAATATAAAACATCAACGGGAGAAAAAAAATTCTAACGCCTAAGAGCTCCCGCCTAAAAACCCAACCACAACCCAACCCATTAGATCTCAAGCTTAAGCCCCAACAACTACTTGTCAAACCAATAATTTATTAAATGTCAAACCAAAAATCATTTGAGACTTCTTTTAAATTGAATAAATTTTTTTGGATTATTTATAATTTTCAATGCCTAATTTGCTGTAAAAAATTCGCTTGAAATTATTTATTATATGATGCAAATACATGTAATTGTTTTTTAAATACATGTTATTTTTAAAACCACAAATGATGAGCTTGGAACATTTCAAACTTTTTTATTACAGTGATCAAGTGAAGGTTACTAGTTACCATGGACCACCAAATAGAAAGGCTTGGTACTTGCCACCATGCCAACCGCAGTCCTTATTCCTCCCCTTTAATGAGTTGTATTTGTCGGGAAGCTCCGGAGCACAACTGTGTCAACCGTGATACCAGCTCCTAATCCCAACAAAATGCCCCACTCTAGACCTTCTGCCGTGGTGGCCTTTCCCGCCTCCATGGACCTCCTTCTCATCTCATCCAGAATAAAGAGCACGGTTGCAGAACTCATGTGCCCAAATTCGCTAAGCACATGTCGAGTTGTTAAAAGTTTTTCCCTTTTCAGCTCAAGTTTGGTTTCAATCTGGTCGAGAATTGCATTTCCTCCTGGATGAACGATCCAAAAGAATGAGTTCCAATCATTATTGCTTATTGGGCTTAATGCTTCCGCCAAGCACTTGTTAATGTTATCAGCTATCAATTTTGGAACATCCCTTGACAAGTGAATACTGAGGCCTGCTTCATACATGTGTCCTTCAATTGCACCATCCGAGTCAGGAACAATATTCTCTGATGCGGAAACAATTTGAAAGAGTGGCCTTTCCCTTAAGGAGTTAGGGTCAGCACCAATAATCATAGCCGCTGCACCATCACCCAACATCGCATTGCCAACGAGCGAAGGTGTGTCATGTTCATTGGGTGCACGAAAAATACCAAGCAAAACTTCAGAGCTGACGACAAGAACTCGTGAACCGGCATTGTTTTCAGCGATGTCCTTGGCCATTCGGAGAATGGCGCCACCAGCATAGCAGCCTTGGAAGTACGTCATCACTCTCTTGACTGATGATGGTAGGCCAAGCAGCTTTGTAAGACGATAATCTGCTCCAGGCATGTCCACACCCGAAATTGCAGAGAATATGAGGTGTGTGATCTGAGATTTTGGTTGCCCCCACTCCTGGATGGCTTTTGATGCTGCTTCCATGGCAAGTTTGGGTACTTCAGCGGCAAGAATTTGTTGACGTATGTCAAGAGATGGGCTGCTGTAGGTGCTGATGTTGGGATTCTTATTAATAATTTCTTCAGTGAGGACAAAGTGGCGTTTGCTTATCATTGATTTCTCACCTGTTTTGTTTATAAATAACCATCATAATATAACAACATATGCCAAGAAAAAAAACAAAAAGAAAAATCAAAACGTAATGACTAATGAATTTTGCTATCTAGTCGAAATCAGAAATGCATAATAATCCTAACATAGCTTTATACTTAAAAACTGTAGTCATAATTTATAATGAAAAATTGAAAAATGCCTTTTTTTTTTTATAATTTTTTTTAACATGAGTGCAAATTGAATGATTAATTACATCATGAATTTCGATGAGTATGATAATGTTAATATATATATATATATATATATGATTAAACTTTATCAACTTAATTCTTCAAAACAATTCATTATCAAATATATACTTACATATGCGTTTGAATTTTTCTTTCAATTGTATCATATGCTCGCTTTTAGTAACTCTAAAATAATAATCAGGATAATCAGCTTGAGAGATACAATAAGTCGGAACCGCTTTGCCAATAGAAAGAATTGTTGCCAGGCTTTGCGCTGGTTTTCTCCTTCCAAAATTCTCAGGTAAAGCCATTGCTGTCAACCTGGAGGTATGCAAGAACTATGGATACTCAAAGCAGGAATGTAATGGAAAAAAAGGAAAAATGCTGGATTTATATAGTAAGTCTTTAAGTTGTAGAAAATAGGTATTTTTTCTTAGAGATTAAGTTGTTAATTAGTTATCCATTTTCTGTGTAACCGTATTCAATTATGATGAGAGAAAAAGGGTTAGTATTTCATTATTAATTAGATTAATGTGGTGGCAGTGGCACTAGGAAGAGAGATGGTTAGGCAGGAAGGTTTTTGCAGAGCATAGGGAAGGCTTGAACTACCCTCTACAACTGCAAGGACAAGCCATGACTATCTACAGTCCGTATCCATTCCGCCAGATATCTCATTTTTCTAAAGTCCAAACAACAACCACCGTCAACGAAACATTCAACCAGCATTATTAAATCCAAATAGAAATTACAAATCACTAATAACAAAAATCAATCGGAAAAAACCTAAGAAATACAAATACAAAAATAATTAAAAAAAAGATACAAACCCAAAAAGGAAGAAAATTTGCTCTGTCAATTTTGAGAAACTTTATGGGTTTTACGAAAAAGAAGAGATTAAAGGTTAAAGCGACAGTCAAATGGGAGAAAAAAAAAATTGGTGAAAGGGAATGAAAGGAAGAGAGGAAGGGGAAGCCGCATCCGATTGGGAAAGGTTAGCTTTGAGAGGACAAAAATGAGAAAGGTGTCTGATGGAGACAGAAAAAGAATTAATTATTTTAAAATAATAAAAAATATAAAAATAAAAAATCAAATATATCATTTTAATGATTTGATTTTTATGTTAAAAGTTTAAAAAACACACTGGATACTATATAATATAAAAATTTATTAATAACATTGAAGCACTAAAAAAATTCTTTTAAAAAATAAATACTTTAAAATAATTATTTTAGATTTATCATTATTATTATTATTTATAATTTTTTAATTAAAACTTATTCTTTATTATTGTTATTATTATTTATAAATTTTTTATTTAACATTAATTTTTTTATAAATCTATAACATAATTAAATAGAAGCCCCAAAGGGGCTTCCTCGATTTGCCACGTTTCAGTTTTCTTATTTTACCACGTGGCAGGTTGCAGAGTGATCAGAAAAAATAAATTGCTATTGAGTGAGTCAAACAAAACAATAAAGAATGCACTTAAAAGGGTGACCACGCCCGTTTTTAGAAAGGGCTAGGGTTGCCGGGGGGGTTTGGGGAATTATGGCATGATAAGCAGATAAGACCCATCCAAAGAGTGGCATACCCCCTCAGTCTACTTGGTCCCAATTCTAGATTTAGATTTTTTTAATATTTGTTTGGTCTAATAGTTGTTAATTTATTTATTTCTTAAAAATAAAATTTAAGTCAAACATAATTTTGAAAATCTCTTTAAAAAAGTTCTTTTAAAAAAATTTAAAAAAAAAGTTAAAGAAAATGAGCTTTGTTTTCTCTTTTCTTTATTTAAAAACACATCAATTTTTTAAAAAATATCTCTTTCTCAATCAAACTCCCTCACCTCTCCTTGCTTGTGCAAATCACCATTCTCCAATACAAATTACGATCTCTTTCTCTTCTACTTTTCTCTACAAAAATTATTAAGAAAAAAAAAATAAAAGACTCAATAACATAATAGCAAAATTTAAATTTTTTTTGTTCTTACAAAATTTAAGAGAAAAAAATTCAAATTTCAAAATTGTATTCACATACTACTTAAATGTTTTTTCTCTTCTTCACTAAAAAGGATTTGAATGTCAAATGCATCGTTTTTTTTTCTTTTTTTTTTTGAGAATTGAAGTATCATGGTCCGATTGCTTTGTTAGATCAACAACAATCTAATACTATTGTTACAAGTTTGAGAGTTGTTCTATTTCTGTATTAATTTCTTTGATTTTAACATTTAAAATCATATATAAACTTGAAACTTTTAATTATAGTTTATTAGGTGATTGAAGATGACACTTGTTTATTAATATATTTTTTTTAACGTAATAGTTGGTGCATGCTATTTCTTTTTAAAGTGTTGTATTCCAACCTATATTCCAATATAAAACATTAATTAACATTTTGTCCTTAGGCACAAAAATGAGAAAATGAGCTGTATCCTTTTATAGTTTGAATAAATAAACCAAGAATAACAAAATCTTTTTCTTGTATTTATTTATATTTGATGCATTGGCAATGTAGAGCTCTTATACAATGTCAAGGCATCAAATGGTGCCATTTCATCAAAAAATAAATTTAAAATTTTAAGAGATTTAAAAATAAATATTTTTATTGTTTTAAAATAATAATAATTTCTTTCTATCTCCAACTCCATCTCACCCAATCTTTTCTTCTTTCTTTTGTTCTTCTCCTCCTGTTATAATTTCAAAACTTTAAATTTTTAATTTTGATTCTTAAAGATAGTATTTATTTCTATCTCCTTGTTAGTTTTCCATTTTCTATATATTGTTATTGTTTATTTATCACTTTTATTTGATTAATGAAATAGGCTTTCAAACACCTTGGACACTTAACTGTGAAGACACCATTATGAAGTTTCAATGCGATAATCTTGTGGGTCTCATGCCGTGAAGAAGAAAAATGGATTATTGTTTACAAATTTTTATTTAGGGTGTTTTTTTCCCTTCATCTGTTCATAAATCTAAAATGAGTTTGTACTTGATAGATTTTTGTTTCGTCTTGCTTAATCTCCAATGGATTCAGAATATGTGGAATTACTAAATATTGAAAAAAGCTTCAGTTCTACAGATTTTTTGTATGCTACACGTTGCTATGCAAGTCATGGATCCCCCATCAATAAGTGATGGAGTGGGTCTTGGGTATATAAACATTAGCCTTTCACTACCTATTAGGGACATCTTTTGGGTTAAAATGTAAGTTCTTGATTTATAAGTTTACTTAAACTCTATTTTCAAAGTTTAAGGTCGCATGAAGTTGGGCTAAGAATTGGTTCGTTACATTTGGTATTTAAGCAGATATGGATCTTCACTGATATGGACCCCCCATGAGAGATGCAAGGGTCAAGGTAGACTTGAACTCCATGAGAGATACAAGGGTCAAGGTAGACTCGAACTAGTGTAAGAGTTCTCCTCATGTGGTAAAGAGCTAGTGTAACGGAGGTGTCGCACAATTAGGTGGGGTAGAATGTCACGAATCGCATATTCCTAAGAGATAAGATAAGTCTTGAGTATATAAACATGGGCTTTCCACCATCTATCAGACATATCTTTTGGGTTGAGAATATGGACCCATGATTTATAAGTTTACTTAAACTCTATTTTCAAAATTTAAGATTGCATGAGGTTAAGCTTAAATTTCAATCCGTGACAAGTGGTATTAGAGTATATCCAATCTTGACCCAATTTCACATTAAGTACCTTTGGCGGAGGTAGGCAGGGTGGTAGACAACGATTAGGGCGTTGCCGAATTAGGTGGGTGAGGATGTCACGCCTAGTCCTTCAAGAAGGAAGTAGGTAGGGTGCTTCCAAAAATCAGACATTGGGCAAGTAAGCGAGTCTTGAGTGACTTATAAGTAGTGGCACTGCATATCCCATTAAGTTAGCCTTTTAGGGAGTAGTGGTGAAGCCTCCTTTAATTTTGGTGAAGCCATGGCCACCTTAAAATTTTTAAATTTTTTATATCATATAAAATTTTTAAAATTTTTAATATAATATCTGAACGGGCTCTTTCAAAATAATTTTTCATTTAATAATTAATACAAATAAAAAATAAAAAAAAAATATCAATTCTCACTCAATTTTAAAATTTTTTTAATTTATATTATTATTTTTATTTATATTTATTTTTACTATTTGCTTATACGTTCTAAGTTTCTATAGATTTTTTTATCCAAATTTCTACAGACCATCAACAATATTCTTTTTCCTTTTTTCATTATGTCATATATGGGTTCTATCTTCCCCTTGTTATATTTTTCTTTTTCCTATTATGTGAATTTTATTTTCTATGATTTTAATCTTTAAAAATTAATAAATTATTTTGTAGTTTTTGAATGTAAGTTGCGTTGCACTATTACTTAAACTTTCATGAATGTATCATTTTATCTGTTAATCCTGATTATGTAAGAGAAAATTATCATAAATATATATATTTTACATACTTTACATTTTATATTTAGTTGAAAGGAAATTATTTTGAATATATAGTCTTTAAACAATCTTGGAGGAAATTACTAATCTTATATATTTTATTTAAATATTTATGTTTTATGTATTATAGTTTTATATTTAGCATCATAAGTTTAAATACAAATAAAATAAGAATATTGGAGGTTGGCTATATTTATATTTTTCAAGTTTGATTAAAGTATGAGTAAGTTGAAAACAATTGACAAATTCTTAAAAAAAAAAGATGTAAATCGTTTAAATGATTCTCTTACATTTGATTCACCAAGTCTCAAAATTTTAACTCATGAATAACAACAATGCGAATGAAAATGTCAAAAACTAAATCCTAGAGAAATAAATGTTCTTCAGTACATAATTAATAATTGATGAATTTGAATTCAAGAAATCGAGTACAAATTTCTTGAACAATTATTTTAAGACTTTTTTTTTTGATTTATATGTTATATAAAATTATTTTCTATTATAATTTTTTAATTATTGATTAAATTCAACATATTAGTTTTTTAAATTTTTAACCCTTATTCTTTTGTCTTTGACCTTCCCAACAAAAATTGACTAGTTCTGCCCCTGACTGGTTAGAACCTATTGCATTTATGTTTTGCTATCCACTTTTTCCAACCGCTTTACTCCAAGGCAAATCAGCCATTGTTGAACAAATCAAAGATTTTACCTTATTATCAATTACCATTTTTTGAAAGTAATCTTAAATAGAATAGTGAAATAAATATTAGGAATTAAATTAAGAGGAAGAGTACATTAAATATTACTTCGAGGAATCAAAATTAAAAATTTAGAAGTTTACTTTTCAAAAAAAAAAAGGATTTTGAATCTATTGTTGTTGAGGGAAGAAGAGGAAGAGATTGAATAAGAAAGAGTAAGAGAGATAAAAAATTATTTATCTTTTTTTTTAAATTTTTTTAAAAAATTAATAATATTAATTCTAAAAATCCTTTAAATTTTTGAATTTATTTTTTAATGAGGTAGCATGATCTTATGTCTTGATAATGTATAGAAATTACACATTGTTAGCAGGGACATTAGGAGCCAAGCCCACTTTATACCTCACTGTTGTAATATCTGCTTTTATGATTTATCTTGATGCCTCTCTCAGATATCAAATTAGTAAAAATGAGATAGATTTTAGATTTATAAATAATAACTAATTATAAACAATATATTATAAAAATTAATATGATAATTAATAAAGTTATTAAGTATAATCATATAAATAAAGTCTATTATAAGTTCTAGTAATACTTATACATAAATTAAATATATAAAAAATATTTTACTTTATTATGTAAATGAAATTAATGACACAACTTATATGGTATAATGTTTTATATTAAAGTTTGTATAAATAATAACTAACTATAAACTATATGTTATAAAAATTAAAGTGATAACTAATAAAGTTATTAAGTGTAATCATATAAATAAAGTTTATTTTGTGTTATAGTAATGCTTATGTATAAATTAAATATATGTATATATATAATATATTAATACAATTATATATATATATTCATAATATTTTATAATAAAAAACATTACTAAAGTGTAATAATTATAATATATTAATATGTAAGATATTTACTATAATATGTTATGCTATTAACATATAAGTTATATTATTTAAAATATATAACATGTAATTTTATAATAATATAGATTTATAAATAAATAAATATATAAAATTAATATTAAATTATTATGATTATGATTTGTATATGTACATTTAATAAACAAATATATTTTAAATATATTATTAATTAAGTTTACAATTAATTCTTCTTAATATATATAAAAGTATTATATATATTAATACATAAAAAAATTAGTTTTATTTTTTGGGTGGATTGGTTTAAAAATTTTAAACAGAGAATCGACTAAAAAATCAATTGAATCAAATATTTTGAACCAATTGACCAATTAGATCGAATCATTTTATTCAGATCGTAGTTGGTTTAGATAGATAATTGGTCGGATTTGGTTTTTTTCATCCCTATGCATATCTATATGTGACATGAGTAAAATTTTTGAGAAAAACTCTAAAAAAAAAATATTCGCGGGAGACTTCGGGCTTTGGCTTCTTTAAAAATAAATTTTAATTTAATTTTTGTTAAAAAGTAAAATAGCCAAATAACCTATAATTGACTGTTCTACAATAACAATAAAATTAATAGAATATATTAATAGTTACAAATCTGAGGATGTACATTCGCCGAAGTTAAATTTACTTAGAAGTCCTCATTAATTTGGAATTAATCTAGAACCACGAGTGACATAATAAACCTAGGGGTTTATTATTATGACAAGCATCCAATCTTAAAACAAATGGACAGTGAGGAGGGATATAATTAAAACAAAATTTAACAAATATGAGATAACACCACTTAATTGGTTCAATTGCTATTTGATAAAAATAGAAAGGGAAAGATCCAAATCCAGAAGCTATGCAAGAAAAGCAATTCTTAATTAAAACTCTCAACGACTTAAGATCACAGATGATCAATTTGACAGATTTCAAACTTTTTATTGCAATGATCAAGTAGGGCTTATTTGGGTAGCATAACAAATGCCTTACTTACCGATGACCATATGAATTATTAGTTTATGGAGAATCATGGAAATGTGAAGCCGTTCACGGATGGGTAATAGTAATGGGGAAGCTGCGGAGCACCACTGTCTCCACTGTAATACCAGACCCTAAACCAATTAAAAGCCCCCATTCTAGGCCTTCACCTGTTGTGGCTTTTCCTTTCTCTAAGGACTTCTTTCTCATCTCATCCAAGATAAATAACACGCACGCAACACTCATGTTCCCAAATTCGCTGAGCACATGCCGAGTTGCTAGGAGTTTTTCCTTTTTTAGCCCAAGTTTGATTTCGATCTGGTCGAGAATTGCACTCCCTCCTGGATGAACTATCCAGAAGAACGAGTTCCAATCATTAATGCTAATCGGGCTTAATGCTTCCGCCAAGCAGCTCTCAAGGTTGTTAGCTATTAGTTTTGGAACATCCTTTGACAATTGAATACTGTACCCTGCTTCACGTACATGTCCTTCGATTGCACCAACTGAGCCAGGGATGATATTCTGTGCTGTCGAAACGATTAGAAACAATGGTCTTTCCTTTAAGACATCAGGATCAGCACCAACGATCATTGCTGCCGCGCCATCACCCACGATTGCTTGACCTATAAGCGAAGCTATGTCATGTTCGTTGGGTCCATGAAATGCACCGATTGAGATCTCAGTGCTGACAACAAGAATGCGTGCTCCAGCATTGTTTTCAGCGATGTCCTTGGCCATTCGAAGGATGGTACCGCTCGCATAGCGGGGTTGGAAATTCAACATGATTCTCTTGACGGATGATGGTAGGCCAAGCAGCTCCGTAAGATGGTAATCTGCTCCAGGCATGTCCATACCTGAAAGTGAGGAGAATATGAGGTGCGTGATTTGAGATTTTGGTTGCCCCCACTCTTGGATTGCCTTTGATGCAGCTTCCATGGCAAGCTTGGGAACTTGAGCGAAAGCAATTTCTCGACGTACGTCAAGAGATGGGTCGTTGTAGGTGCTGATGCTGGCGTTCTTCTTAAGAATTTCTTCAGTAAGGACAAAGTGACGTTTCCTTATCATTGATTTCTCACCTGTTGGACCGCTTACAATAACCATCAAATCGTTACAACTAATTAAATCTGACTAACTAGGAGAACTCAGATATGTATATATGTCGATGATAAATTTGTACTAAGAAACCAGGAAAAGGCAAATTGACTATATAATTGTCTCTTCTTTAACAGTATTTACTCAAAATGGTTAGACTTCTTAGACCATGAGATAGATGACTATATATATGAGCCATTATTTTCCATGCTATGTATCATCTATGATTACATATTACTAAGCAGTGCACTTACATATTTGCTTGAATTTCCCTTTCAATTGTGTCATGTGCTCACTTTTGGTGACCCTAAAATAGTAATTGGGGTAATCAATCTGAGAAATACAGAAAGCTGGATTTGCCGTGCCAATGGAAAGGATTGTTGCTGTACTCTGAGCTTGCTTTTGTCTTCCGAAATTCTCTGGTAAAGCCATTGCTGTCAACCTGGTTCCTATATAAGAACTATAAGCAGGAAAGTGATGAATAAAGAAATAGTGTACAGCTGATTTATATTCCAAGTCTATAACAGTTGAAGATGGGGATTTCCTTGTAAGCTAGGCTATCAACTTCATCTGTAGGTCTAAAAAAGGAAATAATGGGGAAACAAGGAGTTGAGCATTCATTTTTACATTAATTGGTTATGATCTCAGATGCTTAATTTGTCTCATTATCGACTACATACCTACAAAGACCGGAGGAAGGAACTTTGCCAAATGGTGACTTCTTCTTTCTTCAATTAATGATTATTAGCTGTTTCTCTCCTCATCGATCTTAGTCCAAAGTATTTTTTGTTTCCTGCATATCTCTGAATAGCATAAAAATGATAGAAAAAGTCGGTGAAACTAGCAAAATATAGAGACAAGTAATTAATTAGAATCATATCCAGTTGTTGGGATTTGATTAGTTTCATGCAAAAGGTTGCTGAGCTTCTCATTTCAGCAACACGTTTTAGTATCATAGTCAATCTTTGTCAGACACCCGAAAATCTCATTGCTACGCAAATCGAGTGACAGAAGTTCAAAGGCAGCCTACCAAATCCCACCATTTCACCCCGAAACATCCAACTACAACAACAGTTGATTAATAGACGATTACAACTCTCAGTCACAGATTAATGGCACCAAGCACCAAGGACATAGTCTAAGCTCCTTGGAAATTGATTCAATTAGTTCAACATCCACAGCTCCAAGGTTTTTATCAAATTTGGAACTTCATCTTATCTAAAATCAAACACAAAGTAGGAAGTAGAGAAATCTAAAAAGTTAAACAAAAAGAATTTACCATGTGTAACGTAATTAAAAATGTGGGGATCCCCTCTGTTAAATGTTGACTTTAGCTCATCGGAAATTAATTCATCAATTTCAGTCCTGTATACTATACTTTAATAAATAATGTAATTAAAGAAAATTAATAACTTCATTAATACTTTCTTAAAACAAATTTCATCAACCTTCAAGTATATATGTTGACATGGTACCTAAAAGTCACTTTCAACTTTTAAAAAAATTTAAATTGATCGTTTATGGCCTCATAGCAAGTGGGTTCAAGATCCCATTTCTTCTGTTTTTTGTTTTCTTTTAGAAAATGAAAAAGCTAATGGGGATTTTGATATTAAAAGGTGGCTAGGATCCAAGTTAATGTTATTTTTATTCCAAGATACTCAACCTAAGCTCTTATTCAAAACCCCAGGGTGGCATAGGAATTTTCTTTTTGGTTGTAAAATCAAAATTTTGATATTCCAAAGCAAGAGGCTGTAAGTATATATCAAAAAATATATATTTTGGTAGCTGGAATTTGAAATTTAAACTTGGAGGTTTTAAAATTTCATATTTGTTTTCTAAAATGAAATAACTAGAATTTACGGGGTGCTGAGAAAGACCCGTCATTTTCTAAATCTGAATCATATGTATTAAAAAAAAGATATGAAATTAATTGAAAAGAAAGGAATGTAAACTTCCCTGATAATCTCTTTCTTCCGAAACAAAATGATGCAAATTACAAATGATTGCTGAGTAATTGGAAAATATTCAGTCCCATTTTCATTTTCATCGCTGCTTTTAATATTTTTATTTATTTTTTACTTTCGAAAATGAAAGGTAGATAGTGCATTTGTTTATAAATGAAAATAATAATTTTTTGAATGATTACAATTATACTTATACTAATAATTTATAAGAGCATAATCCATGCCTCTATTTTATTATATATAGAACAATATAGAATTATTACTGCATTTTAGTCATTTATTTATTTTTAATTAATTATGCTTGGGTTTTTTTTAAAATATTTTAAAAAATAAATATAAATAGCCTAAACCAATGATCAAAACTAACAACCAAATAAAATTTTAATTTATTATTTTTTAGCTTTTTGCACTTTGGCTTGAGTTGCCTGTAAATCAAATCAATTAAATTAATGTGTCATTTCCAGTTCATCCATCCATATGAACTGATAAGATTTTTCAAGGTTTATCCGAAGGCTTTCTGTCAGCTATATCATTGGTAAAAAAAATGACAGGAGGTTGGAAAGAATATTTTATTTTATGTATAATTTGGATAGCAACTGAGCTAATATAGATGTTAATAGAGAGGCAAAGCATAGAATTAATTGTCTTTTTCCTTTTTTTTTTTTATGTATACACTCAATTATAACCATTAACAGTTTCTCATGTATAAGAAAAATGTTATTTAACATATAATATAATAATTCACTGAATTAGAGACATTCATGAATTTTGAGATTGCATTTATGAATTTGATTGTCTTTAAATTTACAAATTTACTAGAAATGTAGAGATGAAGTACTCCAAATATCTATAGGCCTATTCTAAGAGTGCCCAATTTAAAGATCTACCATCCCAAGAAAATACCATTTTAACTTAAAAATTGGCAATTACATGAACCACTCAGAAAATGGACACTAATGCCATTGATGCTGAAATTGCAAAAAGAGAACCCATTAACCTTAAAATGTAATATTTTGCCAAAAGAAACAAATTAAATGAGATTGCAACAAAATCTTTTTATTTACCAGTCTAATCTTCAATAGAAAAAATGTTGATTCAAAACAAGTTGAATCTTCAAAAATAAAACCCATTAACCCTTAAAACACATTATTTTCCTTGTCTTCAATCTCATATTCAAGACCAAACACTACTATCCCTCTCTTGGTTCTCCCTCTTGGATTGTTTTCTTTTTATTTTGTTCTTTCTCTCTTAATTTTTATATTAATCTCATTTAATTTAGGGTTAAAGTTTTTTGTTAATTTTTTTTTCATGTCAACATTTGTCGTGTAAATATTTTTGCCACATCCATACCTGCTAATTAATCACTTTAAAAGTACCTCTCCAGCTAATGGTGGTACTTACTTAGATTATGATATATTAGTTTTGAAAATTCATGTTTTCTTTGGTCAGAGATTTCTAAATTTAATAAGGAAGGCCGTTTTCTCCTTTTCGATTTGCTTTCCTAAATTTCAGAAGGCAAGTGAAGGAAAACTCACTACAAGTACCTCATGTATGTATCAGTTCCATCTATCTTAGTTAGCAGTATTAAACAGGAATAAATAAAGAGATAAAACCAGTACATTAATTAAGGACTCCTCTCCATTCTCCAATGGCAGTAGAAAAATCTTATCATTATGTCTCTCATTGTAATTGCAATTGACAACGAATATTAATTTAAAATCAACTAATATCATTTTATTCAATTAAGAACTAAACCTCGAAAACTTGTCTGCAATTGGCAACATACCAATCAAGAGATGAACATTGACGACTGACAACAGGACACGGTAAAAATATTGTAATACTGTGACCTTCCAAGTCATAAACATTAAGGTTTCTATTTTCAAGTTTAGTAGATGGAGTTTCTTCGTATAATAGAATCAGTGATCGGGTAACAAGTGCCGCGCCAATAATTTGTGAGGAAAATTGCATTGTCGCCTATACTTTTCACCTCCACCCATGCCCTTGCACAGAAATCAAACTTGAACCCTCCAAAATTTTCAATCCAATCAAACAATTTCAACGGTAAATATTTGCATACAAGTAATTTCTCTCAAAAACTTCAAGAAAATAGGGTTTATTATCTTCAAGGTAGAATAGCTTTGATTCGTTTCCGACAGTGATCAATTTTGTAAATAGAGTGTTTGACCCTTCAAACTCGATTATAAGCAAAGAATATGCCCAAGTGAGGCAATAAGTCTTTCCTCCAAACGCTGTCATAGTAGAGACATTGTCTTCCGTATTTTGTTTGGAATATTTAGAATCAGTAGGAGAACAAATTTTCAAGGCACCATCTTTGTCATCAATGAAAAGGATGAGGCAGTTTGGATCATTTGGAGGTGCCGAGAGAATGCAAATGACCGTTTTGAAATTCAAAGAAGGAAGTTGAATTGTCTCCATCGACACAAGATTTAAAAGGAAACAATCGGGATGAAACATGATCCACTAACACTAACCATTCAAAGAATATGTCACATATCAATATATTACACATCTCAGCAATGATTTTACTACATGTTTGGTTGGAGGAATACATAGTTAAGCCATTCTCCCTCTAGTCTTAAGGAACATTTATTTCTTTGTTTGGTTGTTAAATACTTCAAAGAATTGCCATTCCTCTGGAATGGCTCTTGCAGAAAATCATCAAAAACCAAAGAATAACTAATACCAACTTCTCCCATGGTATTAACTATTCTTTAGTTGAGGAATAGCCTTAAAAAATAATAAAAATCAAATTGCCCCTTACAAGTTTGAAAAATTACAACCTTATTTATCCAAAAGCAATCTTTTTTTTCTCTCTCCTCTTCCTCCTCTCCTTTCATTCCAGCTTTTAATAAAATATTAATATTTTAAATAAATTATAAATTATTATTATTTATAAAATATAATAAAAAATAAATAATAACAATAACATTTTAATTATAATTAAAATATTGATATTTTAAAATGTTAATGATTAAATTATAAATATAATATTAATATTAAAATTATCATTTATTAATATTTTAAATAAATTATAATTTATTAATATTTAAAAAATAAAATAAAAAATCGTAATAACATTTAAATTATAAATAAAATATTAACATTTAAATTATCAATTATTAATAATTTAAATAAATTATAAATTAGTAATATTTAAATAATAAAATAAAATAAAAAAATTAATCATATTTTATGATGAAGGGTATTTTTATCTTGTTATCTCCTATTTCTTTTTTATTCTAAAGTTATTTTTACCAACTAAACATTACAGTAATTTATAATAACCATTTCTCTTGTATTTCATTCGTTATACCAAATTATATAATAATTATTTTATTTTATTCTTACAAAATAATTATTTTATTTGATTTCTATCTATTGCACGAACCAAACATGGTTTTAGTGTAATACCAATGTGGTGATACACTGAAGAACGTTTACCTTGGATTATATTCTCCATGAGATATAACAAGCCAAAGGTAAGGTTGAAATATGCAGGGAGGAAGAGAATACGGAAGTCGCTCTTCCTCCGTTGTTGCTTCCTTTTCCATAATAATATCCTACGTCAAAATAATTTAATTACTTAGTTGTTATCAAAACACATATAAACGGAGGCAAGGGGTGCCAATGGGTTCATGCCCCTGACTTTTTGTCCTAGAGTAATTAATTCTTTTTTTCCTTTTTCTTTGATGAAATAGAGAATTACACATATTATAAAAGCTATCCTGTAATACTAATTAAAGAAAGTCAGTTTTTATGAAATAGCTTTGCTGGTAATTATTTAAGAGTTAGAACTAAGAGGCAGAAATATCTATAATTATTGCTAATTAAATTTGCTAATATATAAAATACACATTGTTCAGAATTTACGATCGTAACTGAAGTTTTTCTGCTACAAAACAACAATGGATTCTACTAAAGTTTAATTATTAGTTTAACGTCAAGCAATAATATAAAAATGAAGATTAGGATTAATTCATACCTTAAAAAGTCAGAAGATCGCTTGTTGAGAACAGAATACTTCCTTTGCTTCCTTCCAGGGAATTATGTTGTCAACCCATCCATATGAAAAGCACAATATATATATTTGTGGCAACTAAGAGTTGTTTTCTTTTTAGAAATTGGATTTTACAATTTTAATTATACCAGTAAATTTTTTTTTTTTGAGATGCATTATTTAAATTAAATTAGAGAAAAAAAATAGAAATTAAGTTGCATGGGCATTGCATTTACCTTGTCTGTGTCGACATCGCTGATACTCCTTTCCATGTTAGGATTATAAATATAATTACAATAGCAATAAGTCCTATTTAGTGTAAGCCAAGATACTTCTTTCCATATTAATTAGGATTACAATTAATATTCGTAACCATAGATGAATAATTAGTTCTATCCTCTAGAGGTAAAATTATTGTATGAAAATTGATTGTAACACCAAAAATTATTGTGGTTAAGCTTGGATTTGAATGTGATAATTCAGTGCTTGATATGTATGCCAAAAATGGGAATATGAAGAGTGAGATAGTTTTTAGTAAATTGGATAAAATCAGTGTGTTTCCTGGAATATTTTCATAGCTGTATATGTCCAGAAAGGACAAGGTGAATAAGCTATAGAGTGCTTGCAAAGAAATGCCTGAATGTTCAGGTAGGGTTTAACTCTATGATACTGTGTCAGTAGTCCAGCATAATATTAATAGTCAAAAGAGGAGAGAATTTAAGACTATGTGAAATTGATAAGACCACTTTATAATAAATGATTCAAAATTACTCATGTTAATGATAAAAGAAAACCAATAATAAATATATAAATAAAGATATATGTATTGTATATCCATCCTATCGATGTAAAAAAACTTATAATAACATATTTATTTTCGAAAAGAAAAGAAAACAACGTGCAATTACTATGTTTTTATTTATTTATTTAAACTCAATTATTGTTATGCTTGGAAGTAATTCTCTTACATATAACGAGACCAATTTAAATATTCTATAGATAAAACTAAGTGAACCTTATAGTAAGTCTAACATTACTGTAACGTCAATAAATAAAATTTTTAAAAAATAATAACCTGTTTAACAGGTTAATAGATAAACAATATATATAATTTTTAAATTTATCCATTTTAGGATAACAATGTAGATAATTTTTAAATTTATTTAGTGTATTTAAAAGTTATTTAAGTTTTAATTTTATTTTATTTTTAACTTATAAACTATAAGAATATTATTTTTTTAATATTAAAATTATATTTAATTAATTAATATAATAAAAAATTTTATTATCACTTATTATGTTAACTCTTACACATTTATGTTAAGATTTTTACTTTTTTATTTCACTTTT